TGTGTGTGCACTTTGGATGGGATAAATGCAGAGCACTAATTCCTAGTATGGGTCACCATACTTGGCCACATGTCACATCACTTACATGCAGCAATGCTAAGGCTTACTTGAGGCCCAAATCTGGCAAACGGGACCGGACTGCCCAAATGCCATTATTCCATGCAGTATGTGGGCCGGAGCAAGGTGTTGGATCTGGGCTGGATCTGGGCCAGAATTAAAATAAATGTGGCCCAGTTTTGGGCCAGTTCTACTTTATTTTATTTATTTATTGTCATGGCTGACATGCGGCCTTCCTATGGCTTGCTTGTGGCCCAGATTTGGCAAACAGGAGCAGACCACACAAATGCCATCATTCTACATAGTATGTGGGTTGGAGTAAGATGTTGGGGCTGGGCCAGAATTCAAATCAATGTGGCCCAGATTTGGGCCAGTTCTGGTTTATTTTATTTATTTATTGTCATGGCTGACATGCGGCCTACCTATGGCTTGCTTGTGGCCCAAATTTGGCAAACAGGAGCGGACCGCCCAAATTTGGGCCAGTTCTGCTTTATTTGGTTTATTCATGGCTGACATTTGGCCTTCTTTTGGCTTGCTTGTGGCCCAAATCTGCCCAACAGAAGCGGACCGCCCAATTGCCATCATTCCACGTGGTATGTGGGCCAGATGAAAGTGTCAGGTGTGGGCCTGATCTGGGCCTCGGGAATTTTGCTATCTGGGAAAGTTGAAGAGTTGTTTAACTTTAAGTTCGGTTGTAGTTTTTGTGATTCTTATTGTGCTGAAGACTGGAGCTTGTGTTTATGTGATCGCATTTAATTAAAAAAAAGTTATATTTTTAGCATCTGTGCATTGCATAAGAAAATTAATTAACTAAGATAAGTTTGATTGTTCAGTAAAACCACTGTTCATTTGAATTGACTCAATGAAACTGACGTATTCAGAATGAAACATGTTCAATTAAACATTCTATAATTGATTTAGTTAATTAGTTTTTTTTTTTTTTTCACTTTTTTAATGGGTGTTATATTAGGGTTAGTGAAAACCATCTGCTGACTGAATGAATGAATGTGATGGAAATTAATCTGCAAATGTTCGTCACTCAAACACGGTCAAGCCACATTTATTATTATAGCACTTTATACAATACAGACTACTGTTTTAAAGCAGCTTCACAGTAATAAACGGGAAAATATCAGTGCTAATGTTGCAGAAGTTTCAGCTGTAAGCAGCTTTACAGAAGACAATAGAGTCATTCTGTGTCAAATAAACAATATTTCAGAAACTTCCCCAGCTAAACTCTTTTTGTTATTTTTTTTCCCCTGAAGAAAGACAAACATAAATAGTGCTGAAAGCTAAAATACTAAATGCAGTGGATTAATATTTACTATGTAATGTTTAGTAATGCACTATTTTGTAGTTTGCATGCCTGTAACTCAAGAAATATTAAAGATATCCTAATATGCTTTTATATTTTGTTTCTTAACAAACTGTTAATTTGTTATCTTTATTTTTAAGGCCCTATGTGGTTCAGTTCCAGAGATATTGGGATCTAAATATGGCTCCAAGAGTAAATAGTTGAATATTATCCATTTTCAATGGTCAAAAACCAAATGTGGGTCACTTTGCATATCGATGATACTTTTTGTATTTAAAGAAGAATGTCTGAAGAATAAAAAATGTTGAAACTAGAAATGTATCTAATTTCTCTAAACAATATTGCATTGAACAAACCTCCCAGGTAAAAAAAAAGTACACTTCCATAATGTTCTTAAAATGCTCTATTTCCGAGCACTAATTTTGTACTTGATACACTAAAAAATATTATTTAGTGCTTCTTCAGATAAACTTAAGATCATCTAAGTGTACTCAACTGTGCTATTTTGGGACACCATGAATATGAACTAAAATGTGCTTATAACATTCTATCTCTATATTTAAAAAAAAAATGTATTTAGTTTTCATTTGTAGTACACTTGAACTATCTTTCATACACTAGTACACTCAAGTGTAATACAAGTGGTGACTAAATAATTTTTTAAATACAGAGATAGTATATTATAAGCGCATTTTAGTTCATATTCATGGTGTCCCAAAATAGCACAGTTGAGTACACTTAGATGATCTTAAGTTTATCTGAAGAAGCACTAAAATAACCCTATATATAACCCAAAATATAACAGTTGAGTACACTTATATGATCTTAAGTTTATCTGAAGAAGTACTAAAGAATCATTTTTAGTATATCAAGTACAAAATTAGTGTGCGAAAATAGAGCACATTTAGTACATTATGGAAACGTACTTTTTTTAACCTGGACTGTCTGAGTGCCAGAAATGTCCTTATGTCCCCTTTGAGAAAATAATGCATCAAAGATTGCTGTGGTCAATCACTATTTTACTAATAGTGCAGTTCAAGTAAAGCAGAAATTAATAACCAACAGTTGTTGTTTCATCATCTGTGAGTGAATCTCGATCTGAGTTCTCACTGGAGGTCAGTGTCAGACGTGAAGGTCATGAAGCCCTGTTCTCATGTCGAACACAATTACAGTGCAATCTGTGTCAGAGCAGTATTTTTAGCAGAACTCGTCCCATGAGCCGTGAATAGCGCAGTGGGTGGATAGACGCCCCGTGTGCATCTTGGCAAAGGAGGAACTGATGCTATAATAGAGAACGACAGAGTGGCCTGAATTAAACCCGCTCATTACACTGATACCAGAGACGCATCTGATGCCTTTATTTAGGCCTGCATCTGAGCCAAAGTTCATTTCTAGAGCTCATCAAGCTGATCTTTATAGCCTTTAATTACAGCTGTAAACACAGAAACGGATCCTGTGTTTAGGTGAGTCAGTGTTCAGAAGAGTGACGCTCTCTCGCTTCCCACACAATCATGTATGGATGCGTATGAAGCTCCTCGCATGTCGCGCGATTCTTCTCTCCGCCGCAGAGTTTGAGCTCCTCTGAGTTTTGTTTATTTGTGAATTTATTGTGACAAACATTTGTTTGCTTATTTAGTCATTTGTTTCATGTATTTATTGTTTACTTATTCATTCATTCAGTCATTAATTTATTCATTTGTTCATTTATTTATTTAGTCATTTGTTTTTCATTTATTTATGTACTTAAATTGTTTTGTTCATTTACACATTCATTCATTCATTCATTTACTCATTTGTTCATTTATTATTTATTTACATATTTATTCATTCATTGCTTCATTCATGTTCATTTAGTCATTCGATTACTTATTTATTAATTCATTAATTTGTTCATTTGTTTAATGTATTTATTATTTACTTATTCATTCATTCATTTTTGTTCATGTATATTTTTTTACACATTCATCCATTTATTTAGTCATTTGAACAATCAATTGATTGTTCGTTTATTTTATGTACTCATTTATTCATTTAGTCATTTGTGTGTTTTATATACTTCCTTTATTCATTCATTTGTTCATTTATTTAGTTGTTTGATTGTTTATTTACTCATTTATTCATTCTTTTAGTCATGTTTATTTACTTATTTATTCATTCATTTATTTAGTTGTTTGTTTGTTCATTTATTTATTTACTTCGTTTTTCATTAATTAATTCATTTGTTCATTTATTTAGTCATTTGTAACATTTATTTATTTCACTCATGTATTCATTCATTCTGAATCTCATCTCCTGCGGCTGGAAAGGAAAGGTCTCGCGTCTAAATCTGGCAGACGAACACAATGAAGCGCTCAAACGCCCGTCACACTGACTCACTGACATTTCACTCCATCACTGTCATCTGCCAATCACAGCGGGAGGAGGAGGAGGAATATTCATGAGGACACGCCCCTGCTGTGGGAGCCTGAATAAACACGCCCTCAGATTGATAAATGCTCTGTTCTCCACGACTGTAACGCTCACATTAAGAGAAGTGAATCTGTAATGACCCACAGATATCTTCAGCACTGTTCAATGAGTGCGTGTCTGTGGAAGACGCCAGACCCAGCTCTTCTGCATTCATATACGTGTATTTATAGTCTGTTGTTGACATTATAATATGACTAAACTATACGATACATATACAAGGGTCTGTCACTGTAACACCTTGCTCTACGGCTCATTTAAATACCAAGATGACTCAATTCAGTTCATATATCTAATTATCCGGAGCATGCAGGGATTGATGGGAAATGTCATGATTGAGTCCTGAACACTTCCTCCTCAGCGCTCCACCGCGGTTAAATGTTTATTTAGCAATGTTGGGTTGTTTTCAGTTGTTAGTTTGTTGCTGTGCTGTCGCTAGGGTGTTTTGAGTGGTTAGATGTGTTGCTATGCAGTTTTGAGTGATCATTTATTTATTCATTGGATTTTTCTGATATATTTAATTGTTTGTGTGATTATTTATTCATTTGATCAATTGTTTGTTTGTTTGTTCATTGACTGGTTGATTGAATCGTGTTCATTCATTCATTCATTCATTCATTTGATCATTGTTTTTTCATTCATTCATTCATCCATTCATTTTTTTCCCTCATTCATCCATTTGTGTGTTCATTCATTCATGTTCATTCATTTGTTAATTAATTAGTTCATTCATGTGTTCATTCATCCATTTGATCATTGTTTTTTCATTCATTCATTCATGTATTCATTCCTTTGTTCCTTCATTCGTCCATTCGTGTTCATTCATTCATTTGTTCATTAATTAGTTCATTAATTTTTTCTTTCATTCGTTCTTTCAATCATTCATTCATGTGTTCATTCATTCATTCGTTTGTTCATTCATTTGTTCATTCAATCATTAATTCATTTCATCATTTGTTTTTATTCATTCATTCATTCATGTGTATATTTGTTTTTGTTCATTCATTCATTCATTCTTTCAATCATTCATTCATTCATTAATTCGTTTGTTCGTTCATTTATTCATTTGTTCATTCAATCATTAATTCATTTGATCATTTGTTTTATTCATTCATTCATTCATTCATTCATTCATTCATTCATGTGTATATTTGTTTTTGTTCATTCACTAATTCATTAATTCGTCCATTCATTAATTCATTCATTCATTTTTTTATTCATTCATTTGTTAATTCATTCATTCGTTCTTTCAATTATTCATTCATTCGAGTTCATTCATTCATTCATTCATTCATTTGTTCATTCATTCGTTCTTTCAATCATTCCTTCATTCATTTGTTCATTCATTATTTTATTAACTCACTTGTTCATTCATGTGTTCATTCGATCATTCATTCATTTGATCATTTGTGTTTGTTAATTAATTCATTCATTCATGTATTCATTTGTCCATTCATGTGTTCATTCATTCATGCGTTCATTCATTCCTACAGTTTTTTTCATGTAGAAGCAGACTGAGTAAATAAGCGTAAACTCTGAAAGCATCATGTGACTCGATGAAGATGAACGAACACACGGCGTCTCTCATCATTTACTCCATCATGTCCTTCAGCCCTGTATGAAGATATTCTGAGGAACGTCTCAGGGTTTTTGAAGCTTCAAAACATCTGCTTTAGTGTTCCACTGAAGAAAGAGAGTCAGGCAGGCGAGTAAATGAAGACAAAACGATCAGGTTTTGAGCGAATAATCCCTTCAGGACTCATCTTCGTTTAGAGCCGCCGTTGATCATCATAAGTTGCAATAGTGAATTGATATGAATGTAGCATCTGTGATTCTCGTGACTCATGATCTGATGTCATATATATGTCCGTGTGTCTGCGTTAATGACGAGGAGTCCGGCGTTCCCGTGTCGTGACTCACGGCTCACAGATGATGTCAAGCGTCTCCTCGGGAGCCGCGGCCCTCACTGGAAACTCGGCTGACGTGAGTCTCATTTATAGCGAACATGAGTCACAAACTCACCTTCATTCCCATCTCATGTGACCATCATTCACCTCAGACCAAACCCGCTCAGAAAACACTGCAGACTCGTGCTTAGAGCATCATGAACATCCGCTGCGTTTTTTGTTTTTATGAAGTAACCAGCGAGAAACCGCTGCAAGCGATTCAGAGTGAGTCAACTGTCTGGATGAATCGTACTGAATCGTGAATCATTTCAGAACTTTTTGCAAACTCGATTAGATCAACAGCGAATCTTTTGCAAATCTGGCGTCGCTGGTTCTGGAGAACACACAACATAATGGCTGACATATTATCAGAGAAAATGATTCTTAGATCAGCGGATGAGTCATACTTCAATTGGAGGGGCAGAGCTTGTAGAAATACTCATTAAATACTAAAGAATAACATGTTTTGCCATTACTGAAAGTGGTCAAATGGAAACTTGAGGACATTTAGATTTGTAATTTTGTGAAATACTGGCAGTAATGTCACAAATAAATAAAAACACATCCAGACTTTTCTAAAATGTGGGCTGCCATCATGATCACAGGACATTTTGGAATTAATATGAGTACATTTATCAAAACTTAGATTAAAATACGTCAAATCTGCAAGTTATCGGCATAACACCACAGACTGTAATAAAGTCAGATACACGAAACATATAAAATATGTTTACACGAAAATATAAAAATATTAAAACAATTTTATTAAATTGTACATAGTTCAATTGTCATTTTTAAATAAATAATTGTAATTAAAAAAAATAATTGTTTCATTAAATTGTTTCATTACATTTTATTTAAATTAAACTCAATCTATAATCACAATGTAACCACTTTGTGTTCAAATGTAACATTGTTGCAGTTCCATCCTAAGATGACTCTTTGATGTGTGGCAGGAACGCATGGATTTTATTACACACAAAATCTTCCCAACTCAATTAATCGTGTACATTATAAAACAAAAAATGCATGAATTTTCACTGTACAGAATGCAAATAAGCAAACATTTGATGAGTTTTTGGTTTTTAAAGTTTATGATTCAAAGCGAATCTGTGAAGCGTCAATGAAGAATGACTCGTATGATAATCACCTTCACCAGACAAGGATTAATCAGTAATCAAGATTCCATGAACATGAAGTTTAGATAGCGTCTCCATACTGTAATTAACACATGGACAACATCTCACAACACTGCATCAACTCTTGTTAAAGTCTGGGGTTTTTTTGTCATTTTTATAATTTTGTTTATGTATCAGTTTAATATGTCAAATATCAGTTTGAGCTCCATGATTCATAATGTGAATCTGATTCATTCATTTGATCTGAATCACCTGATACTGCCACTGAAGTGTTTCATTTCTTCAACATGTGTTCCTTTTCTAGCAGAAAACCCTCTAATGTGAAATATATTCCTGTCATGATAAACAGTGACTCATTGGGTGCTGCTGTAAGATTTGTGTGTTTGTGTCTCAAGTCTTTTGTGATTCGTGTGATTATCTGCCGCTTTTACACTCGTGGGTCAGTAATTGTCATAATTGGAAATCTGTATCCAGCCTCTCTTTCTTCCTCTCTGTTGGTGTTTTGCTTCCTGTTTGTTTCAGCAGGAAGTGATGTCGCTCGTCGTGAGTCAGATGGTTAGAACATCTCTGAATGGATGAAGGTCTGCGCTTCTCAATGAGTTCATCAAGGTTTTATCAGACAACCTGTGTTACAGTTCAGCTCTGGATCTCTGCATTAATCATGTAATTAATGACTGATTAAATTAATCTGATATACAGCGACTCGAACAGTGTTTGGACACTTTGACTTACAGCTTGTCTAAATTATGTAACATTAAGAACTCATTTGATATTGAACAATATACACTACACTAAAGAAATAAATACTTTTATTCAACAAGGAGGCATTAAAGTGATCAAAAGTGACATTTCTAATGTTACAGTAGATTTCTATTTCAAATAAATTCTGTTTTTAGAACTTTCTATTCATCTGTGAATCCTGAAAAATAAAATGCATCACAGTTTCCACAAAAATATTGTGCAGCACAACTGTTTTCAACACTGATAATAATCAGAAATGTTTGTTGAGCAGCAAATCAGCATATTAGACTGATTTCTGAAGATCATGTGACGCTGAAGACTGGAGTAATGATGCTGAAAATACAGCTGCGCATCACAGAAATACATTACAGTTTAACAGAGATTCACATAGAAAACAGCTAGTTTCAATTCTAATAATATTTCATTGTTTTTATTGTATATTTGATCAAATAAATGCAGCCTTGGTGAGCAGAAGAGACTCTTTCAGAAACATTACAAAATCCTACTGACCCCAAACCTTCTGCTTCATCTTTTGAATCTCCTGAACTTGATGTTGTGAAGCTGTGAGCTAGTGCTGTTTCTCCAGTAATACTCTGTGACTGAGCTCTGCTGCTTCATATGATGAGTGATAAAGCGGCGGGTCGTTGTGTAATTCAGTGTGCGGTCAGCAGGACGTCTCATGAATGCAGGGTCGCGCCGGAGGATGGTGTGTGTAATGAGCACACACACACACACACACTCACAGAGACTCAGTGAAGATGAGTGCAGCTGACCTCTGACCCCTGACCCTCAGTGCTGCAACGCTCAGAGCTGCTGATGAGAGAAGCTGTGCTGTCAGACAGGAAGAAACACCCTAGCGACCGCATAGCAACGCACTAAACGCTCAGTGTGTCAGTAACATCAAACCTCATTGGTTACTTGTGTGTCTCTGTGACAAACCTGTGAACGATGAATTGAATTGTATTTTAATTAAATAAGTTCATTAGTTAAAACAAATTATTCATGCCATATTATACTTAACTAAAACTAAAACCATAAATAAACAAACAAATAAAAAAACATTTTGTTACTTAAATGTTAACTGAAAATAAAATTAAAAATAATAAAATGTAATACAACTCTATAGACATTTAAAACACACACAATAAGTGAATAAAACATATATATCCTGGGCAAATGCTTGAAATTATTATGATTTTTTTTTTACGTTTTTGAAAGAAGTCACAAACTGAACTTCAAGTCCGAAAATGTATTTGATCAAAAATATATTTTAAATGATATTCAGATAGAAAACACTTTTTTTACATTGTAATAATATTAATAACACTCACAGTATTACTGTTTTAACTCTATTTTGGATCAAATAAATGCAGCCTTGGTGAGAATCAGAAGATACTTATTTTAAAAATGCATATAAAACAAACAAACACACATTCAACTAATTCTATATTGCTTTCTCAAATCCTATTTTCTGCCTGCATTTAATGCTTTGGCGATTCAAAATGTACTTATGTACTTCTGTAATGCTAATAAAGCAGTTTGAATTGTGAATTTAAATACAATTTGTTCTGTTCCTCACATACAGCTTCAGAATATATAAAATGCAGTCTCATTGCCTAATGTTAT